GATCCACATGAGCGAGCCAAGATATTCCTCAACCAAGCTGACAAGCTATATACCTTCATACCCGGACCCTCATTCAGGCTCAAATTTCTGCCTGTTCAAGAAAATCTGCCTGAACCAGGGTTTGTCCTTAAAATAAGCCTGCGGGCAGAAATCGTTATTGGGGCAGAGCGGCAGATGCTGCAAATTACTTGCAACATTCGACATTTCAATTCGGGCGAGAATTTTTGTGATTCGGGCGTGAATTTTTGTAATCGGGCGAGAATTTTTGTGATCGGGTGGATTTCGTAGACTCAAGTTGCATTGCATGTATATTCATCACTTGCAGAATATATCTTTTGAAAAAACACATTCGGGCGAGAATTCCAGATTCGGGCGTGAAAATTCATGTTCGGGCAGAAATACTGCCTGAATGGATTCGGGCTGGAATTCTAGCCTGGACGAGTTCCTAGGTATCCCCTACAAGGAATTTCCGAATCATGGGGCCCAAGGCCCCTAGAAAAGAGCATTCTGTAGTGAAATTCTTTGGGGGGGTAGCATTTTGTAGTCACTTCGATTCATTTTGTGACTGATTCCGCATTCGATGATGTACAGTGCCAGATAGACATTGTTCCAATCAGTTTCTAGTGGGACCTGCGCTTTAACGCATACTTGGCCACTCACCGCTTTCACTTCATTTTCTAGCAAATTATGTCCTTCCTGCAAAAGTGCAGCCACATCCTTTTCTAGACCTAAAGTGCAGCCACTGCATTTTCTAGATCCCCAACCCCACCCAGTCCCTACTACAAAATGCAAATTCCAACGTCACCCTGTGACATTTCATTTCTGGACCTTCAGCCCACCAGTAATTAAGCAGCATGCAACAGGGATGTGCAAACACAAAACAAGGCTGCTTGAGTCTTGAGTTCATGAAATCCCCAATGAGTTGCGGGCAGTGCTTGCTTTTGATCCCGGAAGAGGTTGACTGCACTGACACTCAGATATGCTTTGCCCTGAATGTTACACACCACACTCTTCGGACAGCGAAGAAGCAGTCCAACCATGGCTTGTTTTTTTTCCGACCCAAACTGCAGACCATATGGACACCCCATGGACACCCCCCTTCAGCCAACCAGCACATCTGCAGCAGCAACTGCATGGTGGAACCAGTTCTACAAGGGCAACCAACAGCATGACTCCTTTAAGAGTGGTTGATCCATTGATGGCCTTATGTTGGAAGGCTGTTGCTTGGCCACGGTTGATAAAATGTCCGGATATGTTTGGTTTCATAACGGGAGATGAGATAATGACAAATGGGTCATTTTGCCTCATAGAGCTGCAGAGATTTTTTGGGTTGGGATGCGCTGGGGGCGATCATAGGGCATCACCAAATAGGTGAGTTGTCGCATCTGTATACATGAAGTATCCCACAAGAAAATGGAATCGAGCGGCACGGATGAACCTTGCGGACACTTTGTGAAGCCTTGAGCCAAAGGTCTTGAATGTGGAAAACAGCCTAGATCAAGACTCTTCTATGGTGGCCTCCTCAACTCATTGTCAAGACTGATTGCTTCAAGCACATCATGAAATCGCTGGCCAGTCAGTGTAGTTTTTGTGCAAGTTCCAACCCGTCAGCGGATAACCTGTCACCGGTTTTAGGGATTGGCATCCCCACTAAAAGCCGATTTCCAAGGGAAACTGAGGGAGGCAGAGTGGTTGCACTTTGTTTGATCAGTCCCTTGGCCAGCCCTAAAGTGTTTCCTTTTGATCCATGTGGTGGCAGAGTTGCTGGCTTAGCTGGGGCGACCATCGATGGAAGCGGGAACTTCATATGTCCAGACTTTGAGCTTACAAGAATGTACTGCCACGATGTTCAAGAGCAACTCTTTGCTGTGGCTTCAGGTAAGGCCGTTTGCCCTGTGAGAGATCGACCACTGCCCAAGTTCAGTGATTTGTTCTGCTATATGCAACTTGCGGAACCGGGCCTGCACCAGATTTCAAGATTCAAGGCATGTGCAAGCAGACCAGGAAGTCATTGATCACCTTCATGTCACTCAGCCAATGGAGACATCTGGGTGTTTCTCCAATCCGTCTATTACTTTGTCTCGCCGCTAAACAGCAACAAAGCCTAGAACTTGGTATATGATATACATATATGAAATCTGTCCATTAAAACTTCTGTCATCTTCAAACTTGGACGAGGCCTCCGTCATGGGGGAATATCCGCGGCCTGGAACCACCCTACAATGACCTAATGCTGGAAAAATGGAGCACAAGGCCCGCAAGTTCCGGGCAAAATCCAGAGTGTTTGGCCCGATTTGCTATGCGTGTTTCTGTTTCTCTGTTGCTTTGTCTCACGCAAAAAAACGACAAGATCTGCAGAAAAAGGGCATATCTGGAAACACAGTGGGGGCTAGCTACCGAGTTGGGAACAATTGAGGCATCGAATTGACCATGCCATGCTCATGAACATTGAGCGCAGAGTGCTGCTGCCTCCTGAAAAGGACAGCGGACTCCTCCGGCTAGCAAGGCAAGTTTCAAGGGCAACGCGCAACACAAACCCTGGGCCCAATTTCGGAAGAGGAAGCTTCATATTTCCAACGGACTGCGAACATACAACCGTGTGCTGCCATGAGTTTGAAAAGCCAGCTTTTTGTGAGCCTGTCGCTTCAGGCTTAAGTTTGCCATGGGGTTGTCCAACCACTGACCAAGTCCAGCGCTGTGATGCCTGACGGGCACCGTTTGTCGTGATAATCGTGACTTAACATATAACTTGAACAGTCAGGAACCAACAAAGCTTTAAGGCATGCACCTCTAAGTTGTATCTATAGACACCAGTTCCGCTCAGAGCTAGACTCGACTAAAGAAGTTGGACCAAGAACTGAAGTTATGCATGCCTATGCCACATGTTCTGTGCTAGCCCCTTGGTTGGTGGAGTTGCCTGATTCCGACGTGCTCTCACAAAAAGCATCCTCCCATTAGATGAACACCCCCTGAAAGGAACAGTGGACTCCTCCGGTTAGCAAGGCAAGTTTCAAGGACAACGGTGACAACGGGCAACACAAACCCTGGGCCGAATTTGGGAAGAGGAAGCTTCATATTTCCAACGGACTGTGAACTTACAAGCATGTGCTGCCATGAGGTTGAAAGACTCCTTTTTTAGAGCCTGTCGCTTCAGGCTTAAGTTTGCCATGGGGTTGTCCGGCCACTGATTAAATGCAGCGCTGTAATGCCTGACAGGTACCGTTTGCTGCCGTGGCAATCGTGATATATCATGTAACTGGAGCAGTAAGGAACCACAAACAGACAAGGTTAAAAGGTTTGTAAGCCATGCACCTCTAAATTCTAAATTGAAATTGAAGCCAATGCCGATAGCAGTTGTGACCAGGTTCCGCTCAGAGCTAGACTAAAGAAGTGGGACGAAGAACTGAAGTTTATGCATGCCTATGCCACATGTTCTGTGCTGGACCTGATTTTTTGGCGTGCTCTGACAAAAAGCACCCTCCCATAAAGATGAACACACACACACACACGGGGAACGACTAAAGTGGTGTTGACCTTCGCGCACACTACTTGTGCCAATGACAGCAAGCAACAGCTTTCAGCCACTCTCTCTTCCAAGCACTTTACACATGTACGTCGGCTAGCTAACTGAGTGGGGAACAATAGAGGCATCAAATTGTCAGATTCGGCTTAGAGCGATTGGATGAAGAGCTGGCACATGCAGCACTTTCTTTGCCAGCCCCTGCATACAATAATATATGTGCATTGCTGGAGTGACCTGATTTTCTTCATGCCCCCTCCCATAGCCAAGGGAACATGAACGCACCCCGAACGACTAAAGTGGCACACGCTTCGCTACTACTTGTCCCAGTGACAGCAAGCAACAGCTATCAGCCACTCTCTCTTCCAAGCATTTTGCGTATATATGTGCTTTCGCCGCGTCGGCTAGCTCTGAGTTGGGAACAATTGAGGCCTCGAATCGACCATGCCATGCTCATGAACATTGAGCGCAGGGTGCTGATGCCTCACTTTTGACCGTCAGATGACTGGTAGCTTTGCCGGTGTTTGCTCGTCAGCAAACAAGGTTCATGTACAGCGCGTTTCTGTTTCTCGAAAGCTCCGGCTGTTGGGGCTGTACCATATCAACAAGTGGTGACATACCAACACCATTTGCAGCATGTTTGACTTGATCCACTGGCAGCTTCATCACGTGACAGGTTCCGGGGGCCAACGCCAACAATGCTTCAAGTAGCATCAACACTAGTGCAAAAATCACATCATTTGAGAATGGCCATGACATGCCAATCACATCATCTACCACCAAATGACGGTCAAATACTTGCGATTCAAGCCCCACTGGCTGTCAGAGAGTCTCAAGCATACTCGGTGAAGAAGCTGCCATACAAGCTGGGCATTTGATTCAACGGCCAAAACACGTCCAGGTCGAATGCTCTTGGCGTGTTTTTTTGCGGAGTTCATTGCAGACAGAGATGACAGATGTGTTTGACGACAACATCAAAGTCTTTGGAAGTTTGTCAGGCCTATTCCCACTCTGACACATGACAAGCTTCAGCCCACTAGCATTGCCAGAGCAGAGCAGTCAGAAGGTCAACATGTGCCATAGTATGCTTTGGGTGGTGACATGTGCTTCCAGAGCCAAAATGAGCGTAGGCTTGAACTACGGGACAGAGAAGAATAGAGTTTGCCAAAGCTCCATCCAACATCCTAGTGACCAAGGAGTTAACGGAGATGTGCCAAAATCATCCAAAATCAACAATTAAGGCCATTTCATGGCATTCGAGAGTAGTTTCATGGCATTCGAGAGTAGTAGGGTTGGAACGACAGGATGGGCATGGGGTAACCAAGGAGAAACCACGCCGCTTTGTCATTGTTTTCTCCCGGATTCATGGCGTCGAGTCGTTCGAATCAGACCTAAACAGTCACAGCCACCTTTGCTCAAACACAATGTGGAGGGTCACACTCTCGAAACAACCTTGATCTCTTGCAAATTGAACCCAAAGGACCCAAAGGTGGCCACCTAACAGATCACACCAATCTCAGAACTGTTCCGGCATCAAGCACCACCGGATCTTTGACAAAATAAAGCGGCTTGCCTGAGCGAGTTGGGCAAAACTAGAACACATCCAGTGACCTGCAATCAAAAGGGAGTCAGGAAGTCAGCCACTTGCTTGTCAAGTGGCGCGGCCGAATATCCTTAGGTTCAACTGTTCCACCAGTTCAACATAGTTCAACAGATTGTTGAAAGATGCTAGGTACTTGAGACTAATCATGCTGAAAGTCGTTGGTCTCACGTAGATAGGCCACTCGCCAAATTTTGGTAAGAGTCTTGCTGGCGTCCAACTCCTGAGTTTGAGCCATGGTGATCCGATCCAAGCCCTTTCATGATGAAGGCGCCAGTCTGCAAACACTTCAAACACTAGACTCGCTAGAGTTTCATCGGGCAAGTGGCAGCCGCATTGAAGATCGATGCGCAAGTCGAGTACTTATGATTGCTTGTCACCTCGCTGTACTGAAAGTAGTTCGTTGTGGCCTTCGGCTTGAAGACATAGTGCTGCTGTGGACCTGGTAATGCATGGGATTTTGGCAGTGACGCAGTTATGCATGGATCAACATCGAAAGCCATCGAATGTTTCGCTTTTAGTGTGGGGCCCCCACCTTGTTCAGACGCACCCCCCACTGGTGCAAAAATATCATGTCCACTGACGCCGACGTCGATGACACCAGCGTTCTCCATTTCGAGGAAAAGCTGTTGCCAGCTGGACCTTGAAGAATCCTGAGTACCTTTGCCCTTTTCATCAGGCACCTCAAGTACGACTTCCTGCTGATCCGATGTCCATTCGGCTGTCATGACCTTGAAGGACTCACCTGGCATGTCAGCCCAATCAACATTATTTTGCACATTGTTGCATTGACGAGGTTCGTGTGGATGAGAGCTCACACATCTCAAAACCATGAATTGACAGAAAGCATGCATGTTGGATCAGCACGCACGAGTTACCCCTTTCCCTTCACAGCAGCTATCCGACTGTCTTTGTTGGTCCGCGACGGAACTATAGTGAGTGATCTAAGCCAAACAGACGCTCAAAAGAGCGCCCCCCAAACTGCAGCCCAACAGCACGTGACTGGCTCTCCATACAACTGGTCGCTTGAAGTTGGTTCGAACCCATAGTATGTGGACAGTTTTATACGTTTTATTTGGTGCACTAAAGACTTGGAGTTCCAGTCTTCAAAAAGCTGGGTTGCACCCCTAAAACTGGCATTGATCAAAGATCAATCGATTTCATCTACTACCTGGTCCTGGTCCGAAGCACCCTCATCATGGTCCTCGTCGTCCTCGTTGTCCGGTTCGTCCTCATTGCTCGCTTCCTCACATGGTGGCTCCGGCTCCAACGCCTTCTCTTGCACAGGAGCTTCGGCAGAAGATGGTTTGGACTTCCTGGTCCTGGTGGCAGGGACGAGGCGCCTCCGGGAGAGCTCGGAGTGGGACATGTTCTTCATTTGCTCGATCCTTGCAGGATGCCCCTTCCACCTGACAGGATCAAGAATGACTACCGAGTGCTTTTAACGTTTTGATAGTTTAAGTTTGAATCAACATCACAACCAAGCCGGTAAGTTGAGTGGGTGCTGCAGGAAACTTAGGCAGGCACTCGGTACGAGCCATTTCCAAAACCATGGTCTTGGAAAGGGTCGGGTTTTCCGCTTGCAGCCGCTGCTTTGTCTCTGAGATGAACGCCCAGTAGACAGATCTCATCGTACCATCGTCCTTTGAGCACAGTTAACAAAGTGATGTTTCAGGTGAGATTCCTGCGACAGTGACATCGTGGTGAGTTGGAATATATTACAGTATAACGGTCCTGCTTCTCAGCCTTGCTCTTTGCCTTCGCCGCCGCTTTGCGACGCTTCTGAGCCTGATCAGCAAGATCCTCATCCTTCACATCCTCATTCACCTTGGGGCCCTTCACAGCATTCTGCACAGCATTCTTCACATCCACATCGTCCCCACACTTCTTCCCCCTCCGACGCTTCACATTTGTCTTCACCTCCTCATCGTTCTTCGCCTCCAGATCCTTCAAATCCGCCTTTCTGTCCACCCCCTGAGCTGTCATACCCTCTTCTTCCTTCTGATCCTTTCGCGACGCCTCATTGGCATTGTCGATGTTTGGCTTCCTCAGAGCAGGCTTGCGGGGTTGCTTTTCAGGTTCTGCTGGTTTCTCCGAGTCTGGCGGTTGGTTGGAGTCACCCTTCCTCTTCTTGGAGCTCTTGTCAGCCTTCTTGCCCAAATCTGCGGTTTCAGGCTGTGACACTGGTGCCCTCACAGCTCTCAGAATTCCGGCTGTCCTCTGGGAAGCAGCTGGCTTTTCAGATTTCTCGGCCTCTGGCTGGCGAACCTTTGCCTCCAACTTCACAGCCTTTTCCTGACAAAAATGGTGGAAAGTGAGAGAGATGAGATATATAGACAGAGATAGAAACAGAGTAGAACGAGAGCAAGAGACTGAAAAAGATATTATAGCAAAACACAGTATAATAAGAGAAGAACAGAAAAGTGCGTGAAAAGAGCAAGACAGGTCTGACTGCTCAATCTCGTGCCTCCTTCGGCAAAATGGCTGGAGAAGGTGGCTCCTCAACCTCGCCCTCGGAATCGGGTTCTTCTGGATCCAGAGGGTTTTCTTCTATCTCCTGCTTGCTGGGCTTGCGAGCTTTTCCTTTGGCTTTGCTTTTTGGCGCTGTCTTTTCCTTTTTGTCCTTGTCCTGGTTCCGAATCGATTTCCTTTCATTCTTGTTTTCCTTCTTGGCGCCGTCCACCAAAGCCGTCAAACGAGCCAAGCGCTCTTCTGACAGTAGTGGGTCATTCTTGAGGGTAGCCCCACGGACAGTCATGGGGACCATTGGTGGTTGGTCGGCTGGCTCCTTTGGTGTTGGTAGCTCTGGAATTGGTACTTGGGTTGGCTCCTGGATCTGCCTTGGTGCCTGGATCTCCCTTGAAGCTGGTGCCTGGACCTGCTTTGGGGCTGGTGCTTGGGTCCCCTCTGAAGCTGGCGCCTGG